ATCAATAAAACATTTTATAAAACATTATGCCCTTCCTAACAATCACTAAATTTATCTTTTAGGATCTGAAAACTATGCGTTCACGTCAAACAGATACAGAACAACAAATACTGTATGATAAACAAATTTCAAGAGTTGAAGAATTATTTCAAAATTTTCAAGCTTTATATGATGATAAAAATAAATCATCGGTAGATATTCATTTTAACATATCATATAGACTTTAACTAAATTGAATCTTTTTTTTTGTAGAAATTATTTATTGATAATCAAAATCTTCTTTCATCTTATAAAGAAATTATTTTTTTATGCAACACAAAACCATTTGATAATGAATGTGTATATCAATATATTGATCAATCTGAACTTCGTTGTCAAATGAATATGCAAATGTATAATTTGTTACGACCAACTGTTATAACACGTTCACGCGACTATATTCCTCAAATTATTCAATTTATTGAAAAAATTCATAAACTTGGTTATGCATATGAAATTAATTCGTCAATATATTTTAATAAATCAAAATTTTATGCAGAACATTCAGATTCACAAGTACAACTTGATTCAATTGCTAATGCTGCTGCAACATTAAATAAAAAAGAAGAACAATTAACAACACCGAAATATACTAGCAAAAACAGAGAAAAATTTAGATAATATTATGCTTTGGGAAGATGGTCAACCTGATCAATTACTCTGGCCATCATCATGGGGCCAGGGTAGATCCCCATGTTATTCTCAATTTCTTACAACAGCAGATTTATTTTTAAGTAAAAACTCATTGCTGCAATACATTTTTTCTTCATATGGATATCAGACTTATTTTAGATTCTCAACTTGATGTGGTTACAACCGATATTGATATACCATTTCTTCATCTGCTCATCAATAATACTGTTCCACCAATTGCATCAAATAATATTAAATTTTTTATAAAAATTCAAGATACCCAATTCAATGGCTCGAAACAAGAAGCTGATGCTTTATTGGTATCCAATTATTTCGTACAAAACCATGAAATGATAGATATTCGATATGTCTTCCTGATGAAAGACTTATTCAATAGGGTTCCATGAATTTCGACCCACGGAATTTTCGGCCCGGTCCGAAATTCCGGTGATTTTTCGGGCCGGGCCGAAATTCCTGGTGGACTTTCGGCCCATGACCTCATTGACCCTAAAATAAAAAACCTAATTTTTTAAAATTAGTTACTAGACATCGTAGTGCTGAGCAGGACGTCATAGTGCTAAGCGATATGACTTAATGCTGAGCAGAACGCCATAGTGCTCAGCGATACGACGTAGCGCTGAGCAGTATGACGTAGTGTTCAGCAGGATGTCATAGTGCTGAGCAGCACGTCATAGTGCTGAGCGGTATGGCGTGGTGCTAAGCAAGACGTCATAGGGCTGAGCGGTATGGCATAGTGCTGAGTAATATGACGTAGTGCTGAGCAGAGGATATGGGGTGTGGATGTCTCTTCCTTCAACATCCACACTACCCCACACTTCACTCACACCCACACCTACGCCATAATGCTGAAGATTATGACGTCCTGCTCAGCACTGCACCATACCATTCAGCACTACGCCATACCGCTCAGCATTATGACGTTCTGCTCAGCGCTACGTCATATCGCTGAGCACTATGGCGTTCTGCTCAGCACTACGATGTCTAGCAACTAATTTTAAAAAATCAGGTTTTTTATTTTAGGGTCAATGAGGTCATGGGCCGAAAGTCCACCAGGAATTTTGGCCCAGCCCGAAATTCTGGTCTCCCATTCAATAGCATTTATATTACTATTGATGATTTACAACAAGCTGCTAATTTCAAAAATGAATTTAATAATTTTCTCCAACGAATTACAGTTATTTTTGAAAAGGAGAAAACTTTATACTCATATGAGAAATTACAAGAAAATGATATTTCATTTTTTAATAAGATTCAAAATTTAAAAAAATTGATTCATTTGGATATTTGTGATTCAATTAATAGCAAATCTATATTTGATGCAATAAAAGCTTTAATGAACGAAACAAACGAATATATGAGTTTAACAAACAATAAACCACCTGAATGTGTGATTAAAATTTTGCACGAGTTTCTTGAAAAATTCGTTAACATGTTCGGACTCAGCCAAAAAGATACTTAAGTTTTTTTTTTCACGCTGGTCTTTTTTTATTTATTTTTATCTTCATTATACAATGATTTTTTTTCATATTATAATAAATCTCATACAAAAAAAGGTTCAACAGTAATTCGACAAGTATTTCATCCATATTCAACTGATGAAACTACACTTGATTTTTTTCTCCAATTTAATTTCATTATTTGACCTAATATAATGATTGTATCAGTTACAGATGATGATGCAAGAGAATTTCAAGTTTATATTTCATCATCTTAGTGGTATAATTATTATTCTGGTGCGAGAATTTCATATGAAAAACAATTTCTAACAACATTCTGCACCATTAAATACAATTTCTATCTTATTAAGAGATGGTGCAATTCTTTCAACACAAGAATTTGCTAATAATGCAAAATATTTATAGTAAAACTAATTTAATCTTTTCAAAAATTAGTTAATAAATTTCGTTTTTTTTTAGAGAGAAAAACCATTTGATTTAATAATTGCTTTAAATTCTAATGGTAATACTGAAGGTGATCTTGTTTATGATGATGAAGAATCAATCGATATAATTGGATCAAAGTCGTATTATTATGCAACATATAAATGGTCATCACCGGAAAATCGTTTATTAATAAATATTATTGAAATCATTATCCAAAAATATCTTATTTAATACTAGATTCATCAACTATTTTTTGAATTAGCTAACATTCCAACAATAATTAATGTTAATGATAAACAATTATATCTAAAAGCCGGACCACATAGATGAATTATTGATGTTTTTGATTTAGATTTATCTATGAGTCAAAGTTATACATTATTATGGACAACAACAGAAGCTATGATTATTGAACCATCACAAATTCTTTTCACTGATCCGAAATATAGAGTTGATTGTTATCCAGATTCAGGTAAAGAAATTTTTCATATAAATATTCTAAATCTCCGGATCCAAAAACTTTCGATCGGACAAACTCTAATATTTACATTCATTTTTTCCTCATGTTTAATTTTATAATTAGGTGCTATAAGTGAGAAATGTGAAGCTCGTGAATGTGCTTGAAATATTGCAAATAATCCTGGTTATTCAGCTTGTTATATACCAAAAGACAAAGGTGGTTATCAACAAACAGATTCAGCTCAACAATTAACAGATGCTGTAACACGTTATTCATTATCACCTTTATCAATAAAGCCTCGTCTTAATCGAGTAAATGCAAATTATCATGTTGATTCTCGTCAATTAATATCAAATGTAAAACAACTTTCAATAACATGATCAAATGAATTTTCAATATATGATAATGATGTTGAACATTTAAATGTCCAAGTTAGTGTATCTGGTACTGATATGATACGTTTAACAATTCGTGATAATGATAAACAACGTTATGAAGTATCTGTACCTATTCATTGGTAACCATCTTTAGCACCATCATCAGTTAAAGTTAAAATAAAATTTGAAATGACAAAAACACCATCTTGACAATCTGGTTTTTGTGTTCGACATACAGATACTTAATCAATTATATTTGATACATCATGTGTTGCTGAACGTTCTATTTATGATGATAAATATCAGAGATGGACAAAGTCGCACCGCGCCTCTCCGCGCTTCCCCACGCTGTTGCTCACGCCTACGCTACACTAGTCTGAGCTTCGATGAGCGCATGCTTAGAGCATCTCGGTATTCGGTGGAGTTTGAGAAACTGATTGGTACAGCAAAGAGAAAGAGAGATGTGCGTAGCGCCTACACTCTAAAAAAAAAGCGTTTTCTCAGAAACCGAAACCCCTTCG